ATTTACATATAACAGGCATCATTTCGAAAAATTCTTTGCTTGAAATTACTCCATCTTCATTTACATCTATATTTTCAAAAATTTCTTTTATTGTTATTTTATTATTTTTAGCCATTAATTTTATTTCCTTTTTTTTATTTGTTTAAGTAAAAAAAAAAACATATAATTATTATATGTATATATTAAAATACTTCTAGAGCTTTTAATTTTTACTTTTCTTTTTAAAGTCCTTCAGATAAAACTTATGTATTAATTAATCCTTTACTATCTAATAAATTATTTATAAAAATATTAAAATGATGGTTTTTTTCTATATTTAATTTAAGGTTTCTCTCTATTAAAATCATAAACCTTTATTAATCTAAATCATCTTCAATTTCTTTTAAAAATTCTTGAATATTTGCTTAATTTAGTAATATTAACCAATAAATAGTGCTTTTTTAAGTCTAAAGATTCGATTTTTATTCATAAAAATTTTTAAAATAATTAAGTAAAGGAAAGAGTTTTTATTTATTAATTAAATCTGATCTTTAGTTTAACAAAATTAAAATTTCGGTTAAAATTTGTTCATAATCTTTTACCGGGAAACTTAATTCATATAGCTTTTCTTAAAAAAATTTTCTTGGGATATTATTTTGAGAAAAATCAAAGAAATCTTCTAATTTTTTTTTTTTTTATTAAAGTAAAATAATAATTTCACAAAACAAGTTTTCAAATTTATCAAATATTTTATAATTAAATTCTTTATTTTCTTAATTATATTAATCAGAATTCTTATTTTAATAGTAACCTAAATAAAAAGAATTAAAAAAATATATTTTTAAAACTAAAAATAAAAAACCTAATAGATTTAACAAATCAATAATAGAAACAAGTTTTTTATCTTTTAATTAAAGATGATTAAAAAGAGAAACGTAGTCATTTTCATCATTTAAATATTTAATAAGTTAAACCTTTTTTTTAAATTATAAATAATCAACTTCGACTTAAGATTATTATTAAGATTATAAACCAAATAGATTTAAAATTTCTTATTTATTAATTTTACTTAAACTAGTTTTTAATAAATTTATGATTTACAATAAATTCTAATCCTCAATTTTATTTTGAATTTAGTTATTATCTTTTTCAATAGAAATAAAAGCCTCTTTATTTTCTATTTAATTATTTTTCACATGGTTTTAAACTTTTTCAACAAATTCCTTAATTTTTAATTCATTTTCTTCATTTATATTTATATCTAAAATTTCACAAAAGAATTCAATTTTATTTTTTCTTAATGATTTTAAATTAAAATTCTAAATTAGTTTTTCTTTCAAAATATCTAATTTAATGATTGCATTAGTTTATATTTTCTCATTTAAAAATTTAGAAAAAGATATTTTATTTTTTTCTAATTATAAAGCAATTTCATTCAAAAATTGGTTTATATTTTCGATTATAGTTTATTTAAAACCTTCTTTTAAATCTTACAAATAAATTTAATTAAAATCTGATTTATCGAATATTTGCCTTATTTTCATTTACATATTGTCTGAATTGATTTTATAATTTTCATATTCGAAAAAAGTTAAAAACGCAATATATGATAAATACCCTTTTCCATTTTTAATTTCATTATTAAGAAATTCGTTTAATGAATTATATTTTTATTAAATTATATTAAACATATTTTTTAATTCATTTTATGTTTAATCTTACTAAGCTTTTTTTTTTGTTTAATCTTATTTTTAATTTTAAATAAATAAATTACATTATCTTTCTGAATATACTTCTTTTAAGAAAATGTCGAAATTAATTTAATTATTTTAGACAAATTCATCTAAAATTAGTTTAGTTTCAAAATCTTTTAAATTAATTCCATTTTTATTTAATACAATTTAAAAATCATTAAAGCTAATTAAGTTGTTTTATAAATATTTATATTTAGAAAATTCTTTTTCTAAATTAATATTTTCATCTATTAGATATATATATATTTTCTTTGTTTTTTTTAATTAGAAAAAAATAAAGAACAAAATAATTAAAAATTTACATTTAAAATTTATTTCAAATAATTATTTTCTTTATATTATGTTTCCTATTAGTTTTAATTATTAGATTTTTATTCTTTCGTTTAAAAAAACATATTTAAATCAAAGAAACCTATCTTATTAATATCAAGCATATCTTCTAGTAATTATATCTATGATTCATCTAAATGGACATTAATGAATTGCATTTTTTCATAAAACTCATTTTTATTAACCCTTTTAGAAATTTTATTTAAACTTTCAAATAAATCAGGAAATTTTATATTTATTCTTTCGCATCCCATTAGTATTTAATTATATATTTTTCTAAAAAATTATTCATTGACTAAAATATAAAAAAAATTAAAAAAATTAATGACAAAAAAGCAATTACTTTTTCTAAAATTAGATCCTCCAGGATATTATTTATCTTCAGAATTTAAACATTAATTAAATTAGTTTTAAAGTAATTAATTTATACTAGGTCTTTAACTTGCATTATATTGAGTCATAGCATTTAGTAAATTGAAAATATCTCTTCCATAAACTTATTTAATTCCAACTAAAATCTCTTGCTTTTCTTCTGGTAATGCATTTTCATCATTAAAGCATTTTAACTAATTCAAATTAGTTAAAGTGCAAATTTAAACAAGTGATATTCCTAGAGCAAAAATATCAAACGAACTCTTTTAATCTTCATCCATTTAAAAAAGTAAATTAATATTAAATCTATAGCTTTCAGGTTGTCTAAATATTTAGTTATCATCACTTTCATTAAAGGAAAAAAAACCGACTTCTTAAAACTTATAACTGTTTTCATTTTCTAATAATATGTTTTAAGGTTTAATATTTAAATTATGTAATCTATATTCATTTAAAGTATATAGTTAATTAAATAATTGCTGAATAATTCTGATTATTTCTTATGAGGAAAAATATTCAAGCTTTTCTTGCCTTCTTAGTATTTCTTCTTTTAAAGATCCATTAGGATTGTTTTCATAAAAAATACATATTTCTTCATCTTCTTGTCTTTTTTAATATATTCCTATTGGATTTAAAATTTGTTTTTGGATTTTTTGGCTTTGTTTGCATTCGCTTATTTAATTTAAGTAGTATTTTAAATGAGAAATTTAAGTAAATTTTAATTTTTTCATTATTTAGATACTTTCTTTATTTAAATCGTATTTTTTGATTTAATATGTTGAATAACTATCTTTTATTTATTCTTTTATTTCAAAATCTGATTCTTTATATTAAATTAACTCCATTTATTTTAAGGAATCTATTAAGAAAATATTTAAAATTTTCTTTATATTATTATATAAAAGTTAAAATAATAAATAAATTTAATTTTTGTTTGTAAAAAAAAAAAAAAAAAAAAATTAAATAAAAATAAAAATAATTTAATGTACGAAATATATAAAATCAATTGATTTTTCAGATTTAATTTTAATTTTTTATATAATTCTACATGTTATTTTCAAAAATTTATGGGTTTTATTTTATACTATAATTGTTTGACTAATCAATATTTTCACAATATGAAGATTTTTTTTTCATATCGCCTACAAATATAGAAATAGAAGAATAGAACTCATCTAAATCTTACGTAAAATAAATCGTTTAAACTTTTTAAATTTCCAAATTTTAAATTTATATGCTTTCGAGGTTTTCTTCAAATATTTAATCTGATTATTTTGAAATATTTGTTCCTTGCTTTTATAAAGGAGGCAATAATTAATATTTTTTTTAAGAGTTTAATGTTTATAATTTCAAAGGGATTTATAATGATTATTAAAGTTATTCTTATATAGTTATAGAATTATCAAAATAACTTATTTTTATAAATATTATATTTTTGTTAATATTATTACCTTTTAACTCGATTTTAGTCGTTTTCATCATTATATTAGGGTTTTATTTAATCACAAAATATACATTTAAAATTTAGAGTTAGCGCTTCTTTAATTTCTAATACAATTGATGTGAAGAAAGTAAATAAATATAAAAAAGTTATTTTTTTTAAAAATAATTTTTACATATATAAAGATCGTAAAGACAATTTATACATATATAATTATTACAACATTCTGACTTTAAAATACCTTAATAAATAAATAATTAAATTTATTTATTTTGTATAATTAAAAATACAATTAAAATATCTGAAACAAACAGGACATGAATATTTAAATTTTTGAATATCTTTTTCTGATTGTGGTTTTGTATTTATAAACTAATTATTTTTTATTTTTTATGTCTTTTCGTTTAATAAATACCTCTACCTAATTAGCTTAATATTATGTCTTTATTTAAAAATAATTATTTCTAATTAAGAACATTATTCTTATTGTATATTTTTAACAAATTTTTATATTTCTTAGTCTTATTAATTTTATATGTAAGTAATAGTTATTTTTTTCATATAATAGAAATAATAAAATATTTTATAAATTAAAAATATTATAAATTGGTTTTATTGATTAAATTATAGGATAAAATTATGATTTTTTATTATTATTATTAACATTATTTTATTAAAATTTATTAAAAAATTTGAATTAAGGATTATTAATATATATAAAAAATTGTAAAAGTTAAAGTAAATAATTAATTTATTAAAAATATAGAGAAAAACTAATTTTTATTATTAAATTAAATATATAAATACTAGTATCAATCAAATATAATTTTTTTTAAAAAAATATATATAAAATATTCAATTAATATTATATCTTAAAACTCATTTTTTTTGGTTTTATTATATATTTTCTTACTATATTTATTCTTTACATTCTTTAATAATAGTTTTAAAATCACTCATATAGCTTTGTATAATTTTGATTTTAGATTCAGCCTTTTTACCTGTTATTTTAATAAAATATTAATATTTTATAAAATTAATAAAAAAAAAACTTTTTACTTCATAATTATCTTCTTTATCTTCATTTCCTTCATTTTTTCTTTTCCTGTTTTTTTTTATCCCTTTCATTTTTTTTTCAGGATTTTTTTTTCTTTGTTTATTTGCCCTTTTTCATTAACCTATCTTTAGGTATCTTCATAATTTTATTTGATTTTTACCATTCCTTCAACACATCTATTATAAATATTATCAATAGCCATTAAAGTTCTTGCTAAATTTAAATTTTTTGCACAAGATTTTTTATTAGATTCTTCCACAACACTTAAAAGTTACATTTTTTCATTATTTTTTTCCTTTTGTTAATTTTGATTTTTTTTTTTTTTTTAAATAATAAATTAAAATAAAAAACTTCTAATTTTTTAGCTAAATCTTTAATATCATTATTATATTAAAGAATTTCTTAGTTTTTTTCTTTATAAAACTACATTGCTTCATGCTTTGTTTATTCTTATAACTCTTCCAATTTTTTATTATCATCTAAAAAAGCTTGATTTGAGGAATTTAATTTTTTATATCTTCCTGTTATTTCGTTCATATCTGGATATTTATCCCCATGAGCTTTCATAACACTTTCTAAGTAATCTTCATATTTTTTTAAAGATTGAACTTTTTATTCTAATTCTTATAATTATTTTTGTAAATTAGTTTATTATATTTAAAGTTCTTTTATTTCTTTTTCTTTTTATTCTTTTTGTTTTAATTCATCTTATAATCGCTTCTCAGCACGGTTCTTTTTAGCCTCATTATCTTATAAAAATTTACAAAAATTAATCAATTCAGCTTATATATTTAAATCTTATTCTCTTAAATCTTCTTCTTTTTCTTGAATTAAATTTCTTGTCTTTTTAGTTTTTATTCATATTTTATTTTTATAAATTTATTATTACTCTTTAAATTCATCTTTCTGTTTATCAAAAGCTTCGTTTATTTCATACATTTGTCTTCTTTTTTCCAATAATTTTGTTGCTGGAGATATTGTTTCGAAATTCTAAAATCCTTTATATTATATAGTATTTGACTTTTTCATTTTTTTTTTTGGTTATTATTTTAATATAAATGCTTATTTCTTTTTTAGTTTTAATTTAAAAAAAATAAATATAAATAACAATATATAAAATTGTGATTAAAAAAACGTTTTACAAAAAAAAAAAAATTATAAAATATAAAAATTTAAATAAAGATATACATATAATATAAATATAAAGTATTTATATATTGTTTTATTTTTAAAAATGTTAAATATTTAAATCCTAATTGATTTCATATTTTAAATTTTTGTTATTTTATTATTTTTATTTCCTTCCATTTAAACATTTAATATAATAACATTTACAAAAGAAGCCGGTTAATAATATTATCAAAACAATGACCCGTTAGATAAATAAATAAATTAACATTTTACATAAAAATAGCAATATTTAATAAAAAATATCAAATTAAATTCCGATTCTGAAATTTTTTGCAAAATAGGATTTAATTTATATTTATATCCTGATGAAGATAAATATTCAGAAAACCCAGAATAAATAAGAATATAAATATCAGAAAAAGAAACAGAATATTATTTGATGGCTCTTTAAAACAAATGTGTTTATTATCAAACTGAATTATTAATTTGGGAATATTGCTATGGAAAATACATAAGGTAATTTGAAACTGAGAAAGCTTTTTTAATAAAAAAAACGAAGAAAACTTGGCAAAATAAATAAGATTACGAAGCATAAAAAGAAGAAATTTATTTAGGATATTCCATATAGTATAACAAGAAAAATAACGAAACTTATTATTCTTAAGTTGAGCAATAATATAATTATTTTAAAGTAGAAACTAAAAAATATATATAATATACACCTTTTAATGGAAAAAATTAAAATAATTCGCCTTTTAAAATATAAAATGTAACTTTAGAAAAACCATAAATAATAATAAATGGAAATTTAGTCCATTTTTTGAATAACGAGAAAATATTTTAAGCGGATTAATTAATTAAAATCATTTTAAATACAAATTAAATGATTTACATTAAAATTTTAATAAATAACTATTTGGGACTTTTTGAAAAAGACATATTTGATAATATATAAAATGGAAAATATTTAAACTTTAAAATATATACTTTTAAAGATACTAGTATTTTAAAAAATACTGAAAATCTGATTTTTTATAATAATTATGTATATAGAAAAGGATTAGATTGCTTTAAAAAATTCAATAAAAATGATGTTACTATTGTCCATTTTTATAATTTTGTTATAATTAAAGTTGTAAAAAAAATTATTAATCATGATTTTATGTAATTATATGAAAATAATAAGGGGGAGTTTTGGGAGAAAAATAAGGAAATTTTCATATTAAAAATACATGTTTTGTAAAAGAATACATTCATTTCTGAAAATAAGAGTATTTTTTTTCTAAAAACGAATTTTCAATAATTGAACTTTTCCAAATTTGGAATTTTCAGAGGACGTTTTTTGGTTAATATTCCTGAAAATACTAAATATTTAATATTTGTTAATCTTTAAAGGATTATTTTTGTGTCTGTATTGGAAAATATATTTAATAATTGTGCTAAATTAGACTATTTCGTTGATAATTTCGAAGGATTTTTTATCACTTTAGCTTCTTTTGAAACTAAAATAATAAAATAATATGAAGAAGATGATGAATAAAATTACGAAATAGAGTATTATTATATTCCTGAATTCATAAATTTTTCCAAATATAATCAAAATGAATTAAACTTAGTATAAATATAAGAAATCGAAAATATAAAAATGCATAGAAATATGAGTTTTCTAATATTTTAGATAGTAAATTTACAAGATTATTCATAATTTAGTTTATTTTTGGCAAATTTTAGACATAAAATGGATTAAGGAGTTGAAATAGTATTTAATTTTTAAGGAGAAATATAAATTTTTTATAATAATATTTTCCAAAAGAAAATATTTTATAAAAATATAATAATTAAATATTCTGGATTGTAAAAAATTATCTTTATAATTAATTTTTTTTAAGATTAGGAATTTCTAATGATATTACTCCTTCAAATTAAATTCTCGAAATCGGATTTTAAACTAATTTTTCTTTTCTGAGATTCTTTCCTTAAAAATCTTTTAATATTAAAGTTTATTTTATTAAAAACGGATATTTTTAACCTTAAAATAAAGTAGATTTTTCTGTTTTATATTTAACGTTACATTCTAATGATTACAAAGCAATAAAAAAATATAAATATGGAACATTTTGTCATTTAAATAATACCCAAAGAAGCAGTTAAGTGATATTTTTTTGCGGAGAAGAGCTTTTTAAAATCGTTAATGTTAAAGAAAAGTAAAATTGCGAACATTATTTTATAGTAGAAACTTTTTTGTTGTGTAAAGATAAAGACTTTTTTAAAAAATAATCATAGACAAATATAATTAATTGTATATTAAATTGAAGAATATATTATTATTAACTTTAAAAAAAAAAAAAATACTAATAATTTATAAGAATAATATTTTTTTTTTTTAAACATACTTATTTTCTTTATTATTAATTTTTATTACTTAAAAATATTACAAATTATGGAAAATTGTTTAAATGTTATTTAAATTTTTCAAATATTAATTTAATACACAGAAATTCAAAAACTAAAAAATTGGAGTTTTAAATACAAATAAAAAAAGAGATACCCAAAACTGATTTATGATTTAGATTATTTAAAAATTTTCGAAATTTTTAAATATTTAATAAATCGAATTCAAGTTTATTTTGAAACTATTTCATTCTTTTTATTAGTTTTTATATTACTTATATTTATTTTATTTAGATTAGTTTATTTAGATTTTTTTTATTTTCAATTCTATTAGTTACAAATATTTCTTACAGTCTCTATTAGTTACCTTTTATTTCTGATTATTTTTATTATTTTTCTTTTTTATTACTATTATTTAATATTAATTTTAAATTTAAGATCATTAAATATGGCTATGAAAATTCATATTATGAAACATTCCACAATTTATGACTAATTTAAAATATATTCTATTTTAAATCAAGGACATATTTTAATATAACCTTATATAATATATAAATAAGTTTTAATTAATTTAAAGAATAAAATTTATTGTTTGATATTTTATTATTAACACCATTTAATTAATATATACTATTAGCTAGATAAAAATTAAATATTAAAATATTTTGATCATTAACAATAGTTTATAAAAATTTTATTGATAAGAAAAAAAATATTATTAAAAAATAAAATATGAACTCAAAATTAAATATAAAAAAATATTTAAAATAAATAAATATTACTTAAATTTATATAAAATATTCTTATTATACGTTAAAATATCAAAATATCTAAGGGATTCTTTGATAATGATATTAATTCGAAAGAATTCAAAATTTTTGTATCATTTAGAATTTTATTTTTTTTGGATTTAAATTGTTTCCAAAATTTTTTTAAATCATATTTCGAATCAGATTAACGAAATCAAGTTTTCATTAGTTTAAAATTATTTCATTTCATCAAATGAAAAAAATAAAATTTCGAGCATCTATAAATAAAAGTAATTAAACAAAAATAAAAGGTTAGAATAATTAAAAATTTAATTAATTATATTTATCAAATGCCGAAACTAAATTATATTATAGTTATTTATCACTTCCTTCATTAAAAAAAATATAAAAAAATATTTTCAATACATATATCTAATTGCAAGTTAAATGAAAATCTTGGAAATTAAATAAACATAAAAAAGAGCGAAAATATGATAAAGAATATTGCATGAAAGTTCTTATAATTAAGGTTTTTTTACAGAATGGAAAACAGAAGGAAAAAAAATAAAATGGAAAAGCATAATTAATCATAAAAATGCTCTTATTTAAAAATTTATTGTTAATGAAAGTGAAATTTGAAATTAGAATTAAATAGTTATATTATGAAATATTTTTATTGTTTATATACTTGAATGTACAAAAGATTTTTTTTAATAATAAAAATATAAATGTTTAAAAAATGATAAGACTAAGAAAAAAAAAATATATAATTAAGAATAAATATGGAAAAAAATAATAAATAATAAAAAAATATAATTTGTATATAAATTTTATTATTAGTATTAATAGTATATAAATATTCTAATTTTGCTTTATCACTAATTTATAAAATTTACTTTGATTTCTTTGTTTAAATTTAGTTTTTATTTCAAAACTACTGCTGCTAATTTATATTGTTATTATCGAAATTTATAAAAGACCATCCATTTATATGATTATCTATATTTTTTGTTTATTACATAAAATCTGGAATATGGTTAATTTTGCTTATATTTATTTGCCTTAAATAAGGTAGCGGAGGTTTTAATTTTCTTTAAAAAAATAAAATAAAAAGCTTTAAAATTTAAAAATTAAAATAAATAAAGATTATAAAAAAACCTTTAAAGAACTTAATTCCAATTTATACCTGTAAAAAAAGAATGTTTTTTTATTTCTTCAAAATCGTTTTTTCCATTTCCTAATCTTTTCATAGGATTTTTAATAAGTAACTAATTTAAAATAAAATAACATGTATTTTAAAAAATATATATAAGTTTTAATTAATAGAACTTTTGATATCAAATTTCTAGCACTTTCGGAGACATAACTAGGAAATTCGATTTCTTAAAATTCTATATTATAGCATATTTCTTCTCTAAAAATAAAATAAAATATATATAAGTTAGTTTAAATAAATATAAACCTTGATTCACTATAGAAAGGAGGAACACCAGTAAGCATTTCATATAAAAGTACACCTAAATGATAATAATCTACAGCTTTTCCATGACCAGTTCTTTTAAGCATTTCCGGAGCCAAATAAGCTAAAGATCCACAAAAAGTTTTAGTAAAATAATTATCATATATTCCGTCCTTAGAAAGCCCGAAATCAGTTAACATAGCATGCCCTTCTGTATCTAAAACAATATTTTCGGGTTTAAGATCTCTATAAACAATATCATTTAAATGTAAATGCTTTATAGCAAGTAATATTTCACATAAATAAATACGAGCTCTTTGTTCAGTCAGACTTAATAAAATAATTTTTATTAATATTGTTTTTATTTAATTTATATAAAAAAAACCGTTTTTCTCTTTATAATAAACTATTTAAATCACCTCCTGGAGCATACTCCATTATAAGAAATAAATTTTTACTGGTTTAGAATGCAAACATTAGTTTAATAATAAAGGGATGATTAATTATACTTAAGACATTTCTTTCAGTAAGAGCATATTTAATTAAATTATTTCCAAAAATTTTAGATTTATGTAATATTTTCATAGCTAAATATTAATCTGAATTTCCTCCTTTTTATTCAACCAAATAAACTTCACCAAAAGAACCTCGTCCAATCTAATCTATAATTCTGAAGTTTTCAGGGCCAATTTATTATTATTATTATTATTATTATTATTATTATTATTATTATTATTATTATTATTAATATTATTATATTTACTATTGCTATTAATATATTTAATATTAATTTATTCCATCTTTTTTAAACATATTCATTACACTTTCATTAGGATATTCATGAATTATTATTTAAGAAACAGTACCTTCTTACATTTGATTTTATGAATTGAAAGAAGATGCTTAACTAGAGATATTACTAGTAATTTTATTAGAATCAACTTTACTATTATTTTATAAAGAATTAACTTTTTAACCAAATAAATCAAAAATTTCTTAATATACGACATACTCTATAGCTGTTTTTCCCTCTTTATTTTTCCCATATATATCAACACATTTTACCCCCAATATTACTCTAACACATTCTATAAAATTCGCTCTACAAGCATAATGTAAAGCACTTTATTAAAGATAATCGGTTTTATTTACATCGGCTCCTGCTTTAATCAAAATTTCAATAGTATTAACATTATTTTAACAGGTGGCTAATATAAGAGGTGTTTAATCTAAATTATTTAATGTATTTACATCTGCATTATTTGATATAAGTAAGTTTACAATATTATTATTTCCATTTTCAGCTGCATAATGTATAGCTGCCTATTAATCATTATCTTTAAAATCTACATCAGCTCTTAAATCCGCCCTTTCATGTTAAAGTAATTAATCTATTGTATTAAAGTCATTTTCTCTTACACTTTATATCATTTTCATGTTGTTTTATTTCTTTGAATTCCACCAGGAGGCCCATGCATTTTTGTAACGTCTTTTTAATTTATCGAAATATTCTTAGTTATTTGTTTTTTAAAATTTGTCTATTTAATCTATATTTCTTATGTCGTATATTTGTCCTTTTTTTTTTTTTTTTTACTAAATAAATAAAAAAAAACCTGTATCTTAATCTTTTATAAGAAACATTTCTTCTTTTTTATCTTCTTAATTGTAATTAAATCTTAATACTTTGGGGGATTTTTTACGTAAATTGCTATTATTTATTATACTATCATCTTATTATTATTATTAATTGCTTGAAAAATTAAAATTATTAGTCTTATAAAAGTTTTAAGAAGAGTTTTAATTTATAAAATTATTTGATTTATAATCTATAGGTTCTGTTTTTTAGGAAAGAATCCTTTAATGTGTAATAGGTTTACTTAATTGATTATTATGTTAAGATTATGATCCCCTTTAACTATTATTCTTATTATTATCTAATGATTCTGATTAATTATTAACACTTTTATTTTACATTATTTAGTAAGAATTGTTTTCTGTTTATTAAACTTCATTTAAATTATTGCATGTATTTAATTTATTATTATTAATATTATTATTTAAGTTATGGTTATTACTATGTATATTTATAATTGGGCGTCCGTTTTATATAAACAATTCTGTTTTAGATGGTTATATACTTTTTGTTTAATAAAAATAATTGCTAGTAGAAAAAAATTAAGTATTGTTAGTTTGATAATTCTAACTTTATATTAGTTCATTTTTCACATTTATATTATTACTGTTTGGACTATTTAATAATATATTTCTTTAGTTTCTTTAAATGTTATTTGATGGCATAATCTATTGTGCTTTTTGAATTTTATTTATACTTTCGCTTTGTTTTTGTAGTTAGAATTATTGAATGCTTGTCCTTTAGTATGGGATTTTACTTATTTTTTCCATATTCATTTTTTTTTTATTTATTTATTTTGTATTTTATTTTATTTTACTTTTTTTTTTTTTTTTTTTTCTTTTTTTTTTTTTGATTTTGATTTTGATTTTGATTTTTTTATTTAATTATAAATTTTATGAGAATTTAATATTTTTTTATTTAACTATTACTTTATTATTTTTTTTTTTTGGTTTATTTATTATTAGTTTTTTTATTACTATTTTTTTTATCAAAAATATATAAATTAATATTATTTTAAATTTTTTTTTAGATTAAATCTGCTATAAATATTTTTTATGTATAAATTTATATAGAAAAAATGATTATAATTTATTTGAAAATAATTATAAATTAAATATATTATAATTTATATATTTTATTCTTTTATTTTAATCTATCAAAATTATTAACTTTAAATGTTTTTTAATATGTTTATGAATAACTTTAACTATAAATTTAGTTAAAAATAGCTAAAATATACTTCAAACCTTATGATGAAAATGATTACTTAGTTTTTAAAAAGAAACAGATAAAACCATTAATCTATATCTATTTTTTATACAAATATATTCGATTAATGTAATATGTAATAGATTATCAAAAATAGAAAATAATATTAAGTTTAAAAGAAAAAAAATTAATATGTTTATCTAATATAATAAATTATTTATTTAATATTTTAAATTTGAAAAGTATTTTAGATTAACATTTAAAAGTTTCATTTAATTTTCAAATTATTAAATTGGTTAAAAATTAAAGTGAATATAATTTATTTTATTTTTTAAATAAAAACTAAAATATCAATAATTATTTATTTATTAAAATTGTTAAATATTTATATAAATTTTATATATTTTAATTTCAAACTATATAAAATAATCTAAATTATTTTTAGAATGTATTCAAATTCGATTAAATTTTATAAATTTGTATATTAAATGAATAACTAAATAATTAAAATCAAATATGTTTTAATGAAAGGTTATACTATTTAAAATTAATATTAGATTTTTAATAATTATAATATTTTATTTATTTGAAGATTTTTTAAGTTAATAATATTATAATATTTAATATATAAATTTAATTTTAATTGATGATTTCATTATTATTTTTTATCTAATCTAAACATCATGCTAAATTATATTATATTAACAAAAACATTTTTTTTTAAAAAAGAAATATTACAAAATCTAAAAAAATAAAATCATAAATATATAAATAAGCTTTAAAAATTATGGAGAATAATAATATAAATATTTAAAAATCTAAATCTCATTATAGTTTTATCATATAAATAAAAACTGACGTAATCATATAAAAGCTTCTGTAAAATATGACTAAAAATAGATTAAGTAATTAATTAAATAAAGCATAATGCAAAAAAAAAATGAAATAATTAATAATTATCTTAAAAATTATTATTTGAAAAAATTAGAATAAATATAAGATAATAAATTAAGAAACGAAAGAATGTTTTATATTTAAATTTAAAATAATAATTATAATAAAAAGAAAAAAAAAAATTAAAGAAACTATTAGTAATAAAAGAATTTTAGCAAGTTAAAAATTGTAATAAAAAATATATATATTATTAATAATAAATATAAAAATATAATTTTATCATGTATATGTAATATAAAATATATTATATTACTACAAACAAATAAAATAATTTTACATATGAATAACAAATTAAATAAATTTTTTAAATATTTTTTTTATTTTTTTGTGATATTAGTGTATATTTTTTTATTTTATACATTTATTTTTATTCAAATTTATTTATTTTTTATAAAGTAGATTTAAAAATTATTTATTTTAATAAATTGCTTTTAAATTAATTGACTATATATAAATAAAATCTAAAAAATAAAAATATTGTTATTAAAAATAAAATAAAAAATGTAACTTTTTCAATATTTAGTATTTTAAAGATAAATAAGTACAGAATATTATTATCTTTTTAAATTTGATTAATATAATCTTTTTAATTTATTGTTTCCGCCTATATTATAAACTTAATTATTTATCCAATTTTATTATAATTTCTAATCTCTGATATATTATTATTATAATTTATATGTTATTTGATTATAATTTTTAAAGGAAGATATTGAAATTTTTTAAATTATTTCCCATTTAGATCTCTTATTTAAGTTTTATTTTACTAAAATTTTTAGTGCTTAGACATAGGTTATTAAAACAATTAATATTTTATTTAATTATAGACACGTTTTATCTTGCATAAAATTAAAAAAAAAATTATAATTAGATATTTTATCTGTAAATAGAATCAAACTTTCTTAAGAATATATATTTTTAACATATTTTGTTCTTATTTAATTTTAATAGAATCTATTTTATTTAAGAAATATTCTTAACACTATTTAATTCAATTTAATTCAGTTTATTTAAGCTCATAAAAATTAAACTTTAAAGAATTTTTATTGTACAAATTTATAGATGAATTTTTTAATTAATATTTGAATAATAATTTGAGTAAAAATTTAACAAAATAAGTAAATAATCTATAATGTATTATCTTATATGATTTTTTTTTAAATCTAGTTTAAATTTTTAGACTTTGTAAATTAGATTTATCTATTGATATACTTTTTTATAATTATTTTCTTATTTTTTCCTTTAGAATAATTAAGAAATTTAAATAGATATTATTAAATGAAAAATGAGAAATTACTTTTCAAAATTAAGACTGACTTAAGTGACTTAAGGATAACTTTAATAATTTGCTTTTTAAATTATTGAGAATAATTATTAAAATAAAAAAAATTTGAATTATTTTATATGTATTGAATGAATAACATAAATTGAAATCTGATTGTATATTTTCTTGAATTTCTTAAATTAAATTTTTTAAGAGCTTTTGTAAGCTATTAATTAATTTATCTTTTTTTCAAACTTATTTAAAACAGTCATAAAATATTAAAATTTATTTGGAAGGAAATTAGGTAGAAATATTATAATTATAATTTATATAGTTTATTTAATAATCAATAAAATAATTTTTTTTAATGCAAATATAAATTTAATAAATATACCTTTTATAATAAATAAATATTTAATTCATTTAATTTAAAAAAAAAACTTTAATATAAAATTTAATTAAACAAACAATTAATTTAATTTAATTTAATTTACAATAAAAGTTAAAAAGTATAGGTATTTAAATTAATTAAAAATATAATTAACTAATTAATTTTTCATTAAAAAACAAATTTGTTTTGTAATCAATTTTAAAAATTAATTCTATTTTTTATGTAAATGTTTAAATTTATGTAAATTTAAAATATAAATTAAATTAAAAATCAAAACTATTATATTTTTCAGAAATGAAATTCTTATTATCTAATAGCTATTTATTTATTATAATTTTTTTTTAAACTTCCAAATTATTATTAAATTTTAATTATGTTTTCTTGCTAAGAATTATATTCTTAAAATTTATTTTACATATTATTTTAAAAAGCATTATTATTTCTAAAATTATCAGTATTAGAAGATAAGCTCGATATATCCTTATTTTATGAATTTAATTTTATAGTTTTAAGCTAAAATCCTTCAAGTTGCATCCCTTATGTCATATTACCTATATTTTTATTATTTATGGCCAAAGGAGGTTTTTTTTTAATTCTAAAATTAGCACTTTTATCATTTTTTATACTTTCATTTTATTACTAAGGAATATTATTATTACTTTTGCTTTGTATATTAATTTTTACTTTAAAAGCACTACAATATCCTTTTAAAAAAGGCTAAGAACATTAAGGACATTATAAAACTCCTTTTTATAAAATTTATTTAAAGCAACTTGAATCTATGGTATGTTCGCAGTTAAGTTTTCTTATTAATCCACAAGAATCTTTTTATAAGCAAACAATGCATTAAGGCTTAGCTTTATTCATTTCTTATCCTACAATAGAAAGTGAGTCTTGCTAATAATCCATTTGAATATCTTTAACCATTTAAAAACAAGAAACGATATAATCTGGTAAATTATTGAATAAAACCAGCTTTGGATTTAATTAATTTTTTCCATTTGATAATTTGAGAACACCTTTTGCTTATACTTATGCTTAATTTCTAGCAGGTGGTATTTACCATTCTTCTTCTTTTTATTTTTTAAAAAGGAATTTTTAATGAACTGGATGTTGAAAGTTTTCATAACAAAAATTGCATAAATCTATATTTTCACATATCAAACAGTGATATAAGTTTCCTACTATATTCTTTTTACCACATCCTATACAATTATGATTAAAATGAGTTACATAACGAACATTATATGAATCTTCATCAATTTTCATTTATTCTAAAATTTTATGCTTCATATCTGTTCTACACATAGGACATGTGAACTTTTCATTACTTTACATTTTATGTTCGATCCATATTCTAAGACATTTCATATGAAAATTATTTCCACATTTTACTTTGCAATATGTAATACATTAATCCTCTTTTAACTTTTTTTATTTTTATGTATCTAATAATAGATTTGTTTTAGTAAATTTTTACCTGCTCTTAACATATACAGCATACTGTTTCTTCATCTATTTATATTCGAACTTAATCTTTATTACTTTTTTCAGTTTTTTAGTTTTTCTAAGTTACATTGTTATTTTTTTATTTTGTTGCATGTTTTAAATTTATTATATCATCGATTTCATTATCTAAATAACTTCCTTACCAGATTAATGGATTATTAAGATTTAATCTATATTTTTTGGAAAGAACAAACAAAGTATGAATACATTAATTATTTATTCTTTATGATTAACAAGTGCATTTTATTGTATATCCTATATTTATTTTATATTTATCACCTTTTTCATCTTTAAATTATAAATTTGTTGGACCTATTTCGTTTACAAGAAAAAGCTTTAATTCTTAAGCTTCTTCATATAATTCTTCAAAATTTTAAGGCATTTTTTATATCCAAGAAACTTATCTTGTATTCATTTTATATTTTTTTTTTTTTTAAATAATTTTTTTTAAAAAAAAAAAAAAAAAAAATAATAAATTACAAACTACACTAAATAATAATAAATTAATATAAATAAAAAACCACATATAATATAAGTTTTGTACAAAATAATAAATGAAAAATAATAACAAGTCTAACAAGTCACTAAATACAATGTAATTAATTGAAAAAATTCGTTTATAATCTTAAAATTAATTGGACATAAAGGAAAGTTACAATTTAGCCAGAAAAAATAATAATTCAGTTTCAAATCGTCAAATAAAATATTTAAATCCATAAACAAATCAAATTATATGCTAACTACAAAAAGATTATTCTAATAGTTTTGGTTCTAAATAATTAATAAAAAACTCAGTTAATATTGAAATAGATAAGCATGCTAAAGAAATTATAGAGAATCATAAAAAATAAAATTCTGATTACTTATTACTCAATGATTATTAAAAAAGTAGTAAATACTTCTCATAGTAAACATCTAAGTTTATCGAATAAATAAGGAAACGCTCTAACTTCGATATATGCGACAATTTGAAATAATCTGAAAAAAAAAAGTATGATTTGAATATAAATGAAGATGCTTGTAGGATAATAAAATAAATTAATTCAGAAATCAAAATAAGATAATCTATTTTACAATTAAAAAAACCTGAAAAAAATAACGAGTAATAAAATGATGTAAAATAATTTAATTCAGAAAAATAAAGTTCAGTAAATCTTATATCTAATATATTCTCTAAATAACCTAAGAATGTATAAATAGAATAGTAAAAATAATTTCATTTAAATGATAATGTACTGATAAAAGATGCGTAAAATTAAAAAATTAAAAACATAATATTAGAAAATAATTCTAATATTAAATAAAAAAATAATTTAGAAATACAAAAAATAGGTTTAAATGATATTAAAAATGATAATTAAAAAAAAAAATGTTATTATAATTAATATGATTTTATTTTTTCTTATAAAAAGTAATAACCATAGATTGATTAATAATTAAATTCACCTTGTTTTAATACATAAAAAAAAAATATAAGTAAGAAAGAAATATTAGAGCTTCATTCTTGATTAATTAAATATATATATTAAATAATATATAAGTTTATTATTTTTTTATAAATTTTAAACTAAAATTGTAATTTTTAAATATTTTTTTTTTTTTATTATAAATAATTAAAAAATTGTTTGTGATAATTAAAGTTTTTTTTTTAAAAATCAAAAAATAGAATTAATAAATTAAAAATTTGTTAACAATTTAAAATTAAAAAAAAAAAATTGAATATTTTTTAATATATTTATATTTATATTATAATATATATATATATATATATATATATATATATATATATATACTTATATTAAGTTTTATATATAACTATTAATTTTTATTTTTTAATATTAATTTTTTTTTGTATCATAACTTCAACTCTACTGATTGAGACGAATAGTTCTTTCTCTATAAATGATATTTTTTTTTATTTTTAATTTATTAAAATATTTTTTGTTTTCTTTTATAATCAATAGATAAATTAATTTTAATTTTTTATTATACCAAATATTCTATAAATAATAATTTTATTTAGTATAATTTTTTAAAAAGACAAAAATATTAATCAAAATTAAAATTAAATTAATGAAAAATAAAAAAAACATAAAATCTAAAATATATATATTAAAAATATATTAAAAAAAAAATATAAAAAATGTAAACAACTTCAGGTGAATCTGACGCAAATTAATTCTTAAAAAATCAAGAAATGGTAAAAAACTTACTTGAAACTATTGACAAAAAATCATTAGAGGAAATAAAGTTATATATAGAGACCGTAGAAAAGCAAATTAAAAATAAAAAACATCCATATTCATAATTTTCAAAAGTTTCAGAATTAATAAATACAACAAAAGATGGCAAAGGTCGTTCTTCATTACACTTTGCATCTTCTCGCGGTGACATAAAAATAGTCGATTATTTAATATCTTTACAATCTGATTTAAACTAACAAGATTCAGAGGGTAATAATGCATTCTTTATTGCTGTTTAACATGGACATTTGGACTTAGTAAAGTATTTATGTGATAATTATAAATAAGATCCTTTATAAAAACGTAAAAAAGATATAAGTGCAATCCATTTAGCCAGTTCTAATGGTGATATAAATATGATAGAATTTTTATTATAATAAAAAGCAAATATTGAAGAACCTAGTTCTTTTGGATTTCCAATTAATTGGGCTGCGGGTTATAATTAAGTGAATACAGTAAAATATTTGATATAAAAGGGAAGTTCTCTTAATGGAGATTCTAAAGGATGTATTCCTGCACCTTTAATATTAAGTGTAGATTATAATAACAAAGAGTTATTTTAAATTTTGATTAATCAAAAAGCAGATGTTAATGTGAAAGATTCGAACGGGTGGAGTGTAGTTTAGTTAGCTGCAGAAAAAGGAAATTTAGAATTTATATAAGAATTGATAAAAAATGGAGCAGATGTAAATTATATTAATTAGGAAAAAAGCGCACTTTAATTAGCCTTTGAAAATAAATAAATGGAAGCCTATTCTTTTCTTAAAAAACATACATCAATAAGTTTTGATGAAAATTAAGCTGCTATTAATTAATTATAAGATTAGAAATAAAATAATGATACTATTTCTTATCAACCTACTAAAGATAAAGAAAAAGCTAATGCTTTGAAAGAAAAAGGTAATATACTTTTTAAAGATAAAAAATACTAAGAAGCTTTTGAATTTTATATTTAGGCTATTGAATATGATAACTAAGCTGTTGCTTTATACACTAATGCAGCTGCTGCGTGTATTTATTTGTAAAAATATAATGAAGGACTTTATTTTACGAAAAGGGCAAAAGTTTTGGATGAAAAATGGGTTAAAAGTTATTTCAGAGAGGCTGAAATTTACACTGCATTAAATGATTTTTCAGAAGCAGCTGTAAGCTATTGGGAATGCTTGAAAAGAGAACCAGATAATATATTATATAAAAAGTTATTCGAATAATTGTTCTAAAAAGCAAAAGAAAAAAACAAAAAAATGAATTAATGAATGAATGAATGAATGAATATATATAATTAATTTTAAATTCTATTTATATTTATTTTTTTTGTAATAGCATTATATGAGTATATTTTTTCTTAATTTTTATAAAGCAGAAATATATATTTTATTTTATTTTCAAAATTATTTTAAATCATAAATATAAAAAAGCATTTTTTAATAGATAAAATAAAAAATAAAAATTCGAATTGTTTAAATAAAAGATTTTAATCCAAATATATATTTATTTAAAACTTAATTTATTAATCAATTTAGCTTTTTAGTTTTAATAATTAATATTAAAAATTTAAAATAATGAATAAAGAATAAAAATATAAAGTAATATAAAGTCTAATAATAATAATAATAAGATAAAATAAAATAAAGGATAATATTTAAATTAAATAAAATTAAATAATTTAAATTATAAATTAAAATAATAATAAACCCTTTGTTTGAATTAATAAAAGCTTTTATAGATAATTACAAAAATTCAAAAAAATAAATTTAATAAAATTTACATAATCATAATTCAAATTAAATAAATATTACTTTCTTCATATATAATATTTATATATTATTTAATAAATTACATATTAATTTCAGTTATGAGATGATTTTTAATATTTATTCTTAATAATTTATTTAAAATATATAAATTAATATAATTAATAAGATTTAAATAATAATTATTTTAAATAATAAGATGAATTATTAATTATGATTATTTTTTTTTTTTAAAATAATTTTATA